AAAATCTAAATTTTTAGAAATAGTTTGATATTAATAATGTCTAAATAATAAAAATTTAATTAATAATTAGAAGCCATAAAAATTGTATTTTCTATTCTATTTATTATTTTATTATATTTTTTAATATTATTCTTATATGATTATTAATCTATCTACTTCTAGATGATTATAGCGTTCCTAAACAATGTTCTGTACAATTTTAAGATATATATATAATTATCAATTAAGAAAGAATATTGGATTAATCTTAAAATATTTTTGAGAATTTAAATTTTAATTTGAAATAAAAATTAAAAAATTTTGCATAGAAATCAAAAAATTCATCAATTTTTCATTTTATTATGTGACGATCAGATTCATTTAGTGTTATCATATTTAAATAGCATTACGATATTCTTTTTCTGAATAATTTTATACATTTTATAAAAACATACATTTCTAATTACCGTAGTAGTTAAAATATATATATATATATATATATATATATAATGTAAAAATATAATGTATTATTTTTTTTATTAAAAATTAAGTGATTTAAAAAAAATGATAAAAATATATTTGATATTACGTATTTCATCTGTTATCAAAGAACAAAGAAACAAAGAAAAGAATAAAAAAAGAACATAGATAGAGTAAAAATATTAAAATCAGCACCATTTTCAAAGTGTCATAAATGAATATGAATATAATAATGGAAGGACAGAAAATAATAGAAGAACTTAAAATTGATCAATACCATCAAGTAGTAAAAATCTCTTTAAAACAATAAAGTAGAATTAGAATTGGAAATTAGCGCCATCTCTTGAATACTTTTAGAAAAATATTTACTATATTAACACTCAAAAGATATAAAATCTAAAATCTAAATTTTTAGAAATAGTTTGATATTAATAATGTCTAAATAATAAAAATTTAATTAATAATTAGAAGCCATAAAAATTGTATTTTTCTATTCTATTTATTATTTTTATTATATTTTTTTAATATTATTCTTATATGATTATTAATCTATCTACTTCTAGATGATTATAGCGTTCCTAAACAATGTTCTGTACAATTTTAAGATATATATATAATTATCAATTAAGAAAGAATATTGGATTAATCTTAAAATATTTTTGAGAATTTAAATTTTAATTTGAAATAAAAATTAAAAAATTTTGCATAGAAATCAAAAAATTCATCAATTTTTCATTTTATTATGTGACGATCAGATTCATTTAGTGTTATCATATTTAAATAGCATTACGATATTCTTTTTCTGAATAATTTTATACATTTTATAAAAACATACATTTCTAATTATTAAATGGAAGAAAATATTTAAATATAATTATTCTTAAATTATATTCATTTAATAAGTAAAAATTTAAATTTTAACTTATATCGAAATTAATTCGAGTACTTATTCCTAAAAATATTTAAAAAATGATTTTACTTACGAATTCTTACAATAATGAAAAATTATAATGCAAATTTATTTAATCAAATATTTTTAAATTATTAGTTTCTTAAAAAATTCATAATATATAAAATTCAGGTAAGTAAATTATATAAATGTAAAAGTTGATACAATTTCTTTTATTTGTAAAACCAAATATAAAAATTATAATATGAAAAAATTATAATATGAATAAAAAAATAAAAAAATTATATTTGATAATTTTAAACTTTCATTTATTTTTTCAGTCTATAGAACATAATATATTTATACTTTATATAGAATAACATATTTAAATGTATGATTTGTAATGTATATGTTTATGTAATGATAAATTTAATATTAAACATTATGATAATACAATAGATAATATAATAATGCATGTTTTAATTTTCAAAATAGATTTGATATTATCATCAAATCAATTAAATTAAAAAACTAAATTTAATGTATTTTAAATTAATACAATAATAATATACATTTATTTATAATTGTAACAATATTAAAAGAATACTTATTAAATTAAAATTTTATTGATACATAAATAAAAGAAAAAATTAAAAAAATAAAGATATATTTGAAGCTAATTCATTCATGAATAATAAAGCTTAAAGAACTATTAACAAATGCAAATAAAACATGATTGTTTTATATTATACTATAAAACTAAATCATGCATTTATATATTATGATAAAATACATAAAAATTTGATAAAATAATATCATATTAACCTTCTTTGTAATTCATATAAGTCTTTTATACATTGAGCATCAGTAAAATTAAAATAGTAGGAATGTAAACTTTGATATAAAATTATTTGCTTATATGCAAATTATTTGTTTATTTGCATTATATGCTTTAATTTTTAATATAATATTATTTGGTCAAAATAACTTTATTATCCATGTTTTATTATTTTTAATACATATTTTATTACTAAAATTTTCTTTTCAAATATATCATGTGTTGCTATAATACGCTTAATATATAACAGAAAAACAAATATTATGTGAGGATATATTAATTATTTCTTAAATTATAATATATGATTATGGATCGCGAAAAGTATAGGTTTATTTTCCGTAAAAATATTTTAATTTATGATTTGTAGAATTAGTACGATTTTTAAAACAATATAATTACTACTTTGTACAATTAGTAGTCATTCAATATGACTATGTATTAGATATACAACAATTTTAACATGAATTATATCTATTATTTTATTAGAACTATTTAATAAAGAATTTAAGCATAAAATGTAAATAAATGAAGAAAAAATGCCATTTTACCTTACAAATAAGCACCATTGACCATTACTGATATGGAGCTAAGATAGGAAATGATGGGAAGACTTAATGAATGTCCTGAAAATAAATATATTTATAAATAAGTTTTTAATTGATTTAAAATTTAAAAATAAACAATTTGTGAAAGTATAATTTGTAGCAACTTACAGAGAAATTATCTAAGTTTGCTGGATATAATTTTTATACATTGATCTACAATGATAAATATTCTAAAATAATAATAAATTTCTTTTATTCAATTTTGTGAACTCTTCTTGTTATATTCAGATACATCATTTAAATTTAAAATATCAAATTCTATGATACTTTTTCCAGCAAATTGTCCAAATACCCCATTTGATATGCTACGTTTGACAACTGTATAAAGACAACAAATAAAAAAGTATATAATATACATAAAATAATCTTACAAGATCATTAAATATAATAATCACTGACCATTTGAAGTTATTTTTGTCAAGATATATGTAGGAAAATCTTGACATTCACGAGCAATATATGTTCCAACAACTGATAAATCAGTAATTGGTGGTGTAATTACTTTCATTGTTTCACGCACAATTTGTGTATTTACCTCATAATAACCTGTAAATATTATATAAACAAATATAATAAGATTAATTATTTTTAAAATTCAAATCAATTTATTAAATTAGTAAATTATATAAAAATTACCATTATACATCTTTCTCAACAAATCATACATATTACGTGGTGGTAAGACTGTTTGACGATTAAGTGGCATTACAAAACAAGATTCTCCATCAATATCAATAATACCAGTTTTATTCTATAATAAAAAAAATGAATATAAAATAATAAAAATATATTAAATACTTTATTTAATATTCAAATTTTTAAATAATAAATTAAAACTCACAATACTAAAATCATGTATAAAACGACCTTGACGTCCACCACGAAAATCTGGTACATCTATTTTCTCATAGTGCTCATTCTCCAAATCAATTTCAAATCGCTCCTTGAAAAAGCTTCTAATATCACTATCTACATTTTTTTCAATATCCATAGATTCTCGTTCTCTTGTCAAACTTTTTAAAATTAAGTCAGAATCTGCTATCAAGCCTTGATGTACTGCATCTTTGGCATAAGGTGGTTTGTTTGATTTATCATAAGGAATGCTGTACCATCCTGTTTTAAACTTATGCATCTGTGTTCGTGCATATTGTCTATATATGTATAATCCACCAATAATTCCAATTATGAGAATCATTAATGCAACAAGAAACAGTAAAAATGTTGCAGTTACATGAATACGATATATACTCCTTTTAGAAACAAAGTAATGACCTCCTACATCAGACTTCAAACATTGTGCCTCTGCATCTCTTTTACCATTTTCCTGTTTAAATAAAGATATATATATATATATATATATATATTATATAAAAAGTTATATGGCGAAATAAAGATAAAAAAAAATAAATATATTATATGTTTACAATAATTAGACAAAAAATTTTTGTTTTAATAATATTAAAAAAAAAAATTTAACTTCATCCATATTAAGAAAAAAATTACAATTCCATCACTATACGTTATAATATATATAATCGCTAGTCTACGATAATGGAAAATATATGTAACGAATGACGTCATAAAATTTATCGCGTTATACACAACATTCTGTAAATTAAAAAATTGAAATAATATTTATTAATATGAGTAAATTTATTTAAAATGAACAGAATTTATCGAAAAAATGTAAATAATAAAAAAATTGAATATTTGTTTACGAATAAAAAACTACATTTAAAAATTTTATAATTTTTTTTATCAAACTTTCTTTTTAAAAACATCAAAATATCGTTAATTTAAAGTTCGATAAAAGATACATAATAAAAATGATGCTAACCGCTGCATTTTCTTCAACAAATAACGATTGTTCTTTTTTATCCGCCTTCTTCTCAGTAATGGCTTTTGTGATGATCGTCATCTTGAATGATGTTTTGATTTTGATTGATCAGTACTCTTAATTATTAATAGATCTTTTGTATAAAAATCTTTTTCATGTGTTTATTTCTATAATTATAGCAAATAGTCAAATATACTTCAGCAGTTGACAAAGACAGTAGTAACAGTAACACTACGTCAGATATCACACACCACATCCACAAAATTTGAGGATGAACTACTTACATACATACATATGCAATCAAGATTGATCGGTGACAACCGCGCCCTCAAAGCACTAATAAATATTATTTGCGCATGCGTCAATTAAAAGTTGCTTCCTAATGTTTCCTATATATATATTTTTATGTATATGCCCATCTTAACTGCACATAACATACAAAAGTATATACAAAAAACACTTATTTATAAAATTGTATTATCGTTCATTTCTTATCGTTTAAATTCATTGTTTATTTCTTATCATATTTCTTATCAGCACAAGGATATTATGGATGAAATTCAGTGTACTTTCAAAGATATCAAATCAAAGAATAAAAATGAACAGGAAAATGATTCGATAAAAAAAGAAAAAGTATTAATTAAATACACAGAGCTTGATCATAATGAGTTAGTAAAGCTAACTAAAGAAGCAATTCATAACATAATCGAAAGTGATCCGTTACTTTCTGGTCTACCTACAGATGTTACAATCGAAGAGCTTAAAGCTCAAATCGCAGTTGCACAAGGACAAGCGATAACTTTATATTTAAATCGTGGGGAATTACCAAAACTTGGAATTGTGGTAATACTTTTTTT